CAGGGAGATCTCCTCGGGTTCCAACTGATCTCCAGGCAACAGAGATCAATTCGCCTGGAGAAAATGGCCACTTTGAAAGATGGGCTCTATGGCATCATGCCCTGTTGAAGTCCCACCTCTGCCCAAACCCCACTCTACTCAGGCTTCACCCCCAAAATCTCCAGGGATTTCCCAATTTGGAGCTGGCAGCCCTACAGATGAGTAGTCTAACGTTTCGTTAAAAGTAGTTCAGAGCTCTTTAATTCTATTTCTTTCCCCTTTTTTGCATTTACATTATTCTACCACCAGGTGTTGCTCTAGATGTCTGAGAAAGAAGTTCCAGAAATTATTAGTTTCACAATGATCTGGTAAGATTTAGGAAACAGAAATGACTGGTTTCGCTTTAAGAACAAAAGGAAATGGATAAAAGGTCTGGACTGTGTAGAAGCAGCCTTCTGTGCATGTATCCGTGTCTAGATGAGAACCTTGTGTGCGCATGGATTCTGTATGTTGCATTCCCAACTGGAATGCACAGAACCACTGATGGATGATGGTGCTGATCAGTTGTTTGGGATGAAGTGGGAAACTGGATTCAGATCTGTCAGCTCCTTCTCTCTAGTAAATACTTGTATCATTTCTCGGTGATTGCTTTTCTAACAGGGCTCCCTGTGCGGTCCTGACAGCTGCAACACAATACAAAGATTTGCACTGGGGTTTTCAGCCTGGCCCTATAAAAATGGAAGCACTTGCGAAGCAGCTTGTAGGACTGGGGGGGGGGGTTTCTGTGTGTGTGGCCCTTAAGGTTGGCGGGCAGTGCTTGGCAGCCAGCAGAAAGGCTGTGGGTGGATGGGGTATAGGGGATGTAATACCAAGTGCGGTATCAGGTCACTTCCAATAAAAAACCAGAAGTGACATAGGTAGCTCTAGGAATCACTGGGAAGTTTATGGTAAAACCAGAAGTGACATGATGTTGCAGCCTCCGTTACAGGATGGGTTGTTATTTTTCTCCCCACCACTGTTCAGACTGGGGCTTGGCAGTGCTAGATGCCCTTGAACTGATATCATACTTGCTGCTACTGAAGCAATAATTGGGGGTGCTAACACATTAATATTTCCCCCTTCCATCTTTAGTGTGCTTCACAGGAGTAGTTATGGAGCACAGAGAGGCGGCGGCGAACAACTGGAGTCTTGCATAGCTCCGCTGCAGCCACATAAAAAACAAAAAACTGTTCTATGTTGTAGTTCCTGGGAGGAGCCAGGAATTAGCCAAGTGTAATACCGACATGGTTTCTCCTCAGTTGGCCTTAGGGCTTCTGGAAAGAGAGCAATAGACCTTCTCCTGGCAGCCCCCAACCCCCCCCATCAACAGGGCAGTGATAGGCAGGAAATGTGGGGGGGGGATAGCCATCTTTCCAACAGTGTAACATTACTTGTGGTGCAAACCCAGAAGTTACGTTAGAGCATCGCCCCAACACGATGGCACCACTTCTGATTTCATGCTGGGAATGATGTCGTGCCAATGGAGCGATAGCAGTTTCCACAGGGCTGTGTGCAAATGGCTCCAAGGTGCCAAATCTTCTGCCAGTTGCCAGCACTCAATTGGCACCCCTAGTTGAGCCTGAGCAGAGTAAGAGAAGGCCCAGGTGGAGAGAACCCTGTAAATACATTATTCAAATGAAGTAGGAAGTTTGTTCAAAGACAGTGTTATTTATAAAGATAGAAAGAACGTACTTTGAAACACCCACAACTCATGATGATGTTGAGCTGAAGTTTGGAAAGCTGCTAGGACTGAAGGATTTCTTTGTCATCTTGCATGCTTTCATGCAGCAAGACAGTCAGAGGCATAAAGCCAGGATACTTAATGCTTTGGTAACACACAATTTGTAGATTTTGGTGGCTGGAGATACCGTGGGATTACAAGTGATCTCCAGGCAACAGAGATCAGTTCAGTTGAAGAAAATGGCTGCTTTGGAAGGTGGACTCTATGGCATTGTACCCATCAAAGTCTCTCCCCTCCCCAAACCCCACCCTCCTCAAGTTCCACCCCCCAAATCTCCAGGTATTTCCCAATTTGGAGCTGGCAACCCTAATTTTGACAGGTCCAGAGAGTGTGTTTATCACAGAGCAAATTTTGTTCTAGTTTGCCTAAGACCTGGTGAATGAAGCATTCCTTATTTTCAGCTGTTTTTATTAAATATGAGATACAAATAGATTTTTCTCTCTCTTAAGACTTGAAACTTTTATTCTTAACTTTTATTCAGTAACACAATGCGTGTTTCTGAAGTTTCAGTGAAAACTGTATCTCTTAAGGAGACTTGTAAGAAGTCCTTTTTTATCTTTGGAGGATGAACCATATTTATATAGTATCAGGGGTCATTTCGTAGAAAAAGAGGTGCAGGAGCTCATTAGCACAACTCATTAGCATACCTCATTTGCATATGCCACACCCCGTGACATCACCGGAAGTTTGTCAGAAGGCAACACCCACCGCTCAGGCTCCACTGGACTGTTTTGGATCACTAGCTATGGGGGGGGAACATGCAGATCTGTCCTCGCAGAGGAGGGAGAGCTTGTACCTGAATAAAACTTGGTCTGAAGGTGCCACTGGACTGTTTTGGGCTGGAGGGAGCCCTGCAACTTACTTGGCTGCTTCTTGCTCTGACTGAGGGCTGCTGGGAGCAGGGGGTGGGGCTTGTTGCATGTGCCTGCCCCCTGGGCTCTTTACTGCTGGAGCTCCACTCCTGTGCGCTCCTGCAGGAAATGACCCCTGTATATTATTGTTCCACTGCACTGATCTATTCTGAAACAGAACTTTTAGACATTTCTCTGTATGAATGTATTACATGAGAACTAGTCACCCACACTATTTTTAGGGAGCTTTTGTCTGGGATAGGCAGAATTTTCATTAGCGGTTGTACATGGCCAGATTTGATGTGATTAATATGATATGGAGCCAAACTCTCCATGTCCTTACTGGGGCTTATGTACTGTTGTGCAATCCAGTCCTCTGTAGGGCTTGTGGATGTAGGGGAGGATAAGATGGGGGGAACAGTTGTCTGAGAGGGGCTTTTTTTTTACTTACATAATTTCTTTTGCTGGTATAACATTAAGCTACAGTCGGAGGCATGAGCTACCCATAGGTGAATCTGTTATTTGGACTATTTGTATTCTTCATCTGCCTATCGGTCTCCGTTAAGCAGCTTACAACAATAAGAATTCTAAAACAGTAGAACCATAAAGCAAGATAAAAGGATAAAAACAGCAGCAAAACCAGAGAAAAGGGCAATAAAATGATTTAAATCAGCATGCACAATAAACCTAGAAGCCCTTAAAATCCTAAAAGAACCAAAATAAAGTTAGGAAAAGCCTGGTAAAAGAACCACCCCAAAACCTGTAAATATGGCACCGTGCAAGTTATCATATGAAGGGCCAAGCCTTGGTCGTAGATCTTCTGCTTTGCATACAGAATGCCCCAGGATCAATTAGTGGCATCTCTAATTAAAAGGAACAGGTGATGTGGATTACCTCAACCTGAGATCCTGGAGCACTGCTGAGTCAATATTGACCTTCATAGACCAACGACCTGAGGAAAGAAGCTTCGTGTGGAAGGAGTTCTAGGGCTTGGGCACCACTACAGAAAAGACACTGGGTGATTTCCCAGAAGCGCTGCTCCGCGCTCACTCTTCTCTTTGGCCCGATGGTATGTGTCAATTTCGCACAAGCTGCTGCATGGCCGCATTTTGCCCCACAGCTTCATGCGATTTCCCCTGCGTCTACTCAATCCTGTTTTTTGAGGATTGAGTAGACGTGGGGGAAATCGCACGAAGCTGCAGGGCAAAATGCGGCCGCGCAGCAGCTTGTGTGAAATTGACACGTACCATCGGGGCAAAAGGGAGGAGTGAGCGCGGAACAGCGCTTGTGGGAAATCACCCACTGTCCCTGGTGCTTACCCACTTAGCCTGTGAAAGTGGACCTTCCAAACAGTAGTCCAACCTGGATGAAAAATAATGGATAACTGACTCAATCAAACGTTCCATGTAGGATTTGAACTAAACCCCACACTTTCTCCATGATTCCTCCAACTCTGTCTCTATTTTCTCTTTGCAGTGCATTGCAATACTGGCATACATTCCTTTGCCAGTGTATTTCTTTCTTCTCTGATACATAAATCACTATGGGGTAGAATCGCACTGTTTGGATTTCATCTTAAAGCTTGTGAGGAGATAACTGTTGAACATAAACATGTCTCTTGCCATACTTAACTATGAGTAACTTCAGACATCATTGAAATCGTCCCAGCCAATTGTGCAAGTGATTTCTGCATTTGGGTGAGGAAGGTGAACTTGAATTGAGCAGAGTGATATGAAAGATCTCAATCAGAGAGCCCAGAATAGGGAAAAGGGACAGCCAGCTGCACGTGGAAGTAACATTACTGGTTTTCTTCAGTATTTCTCAAACCTGCTCTATAACTGTGAAGTGGAAGTGCTAGATTGGCTGTTAGAGCACATCAACTATTCCTTACAAGGGAAAGCCCCTTCATGAGATCATCAGGGGCCTGCTGCTTCCTGTGTTTTCACAGGGTAACTTCAGCTGGAATGGCCAAAGATTCAATAACAGGCTTGGCTACGATCTTATACTGAGTCAAATATGTTTAATCCCATTGACTTCGGTATGCTTACTGTGGTTAACCCTGTGTTGGAATGTGGCCACAAAGCATTATTCACTACTTGGCCCCAGGTTTAAAGGACTCATTTTTGAGAGATGTTTCTGCAGATAGTGAAGAATATATAAGGGGGGGAAACACAAAGCAAAAGGGAAATTCAGGTCTTGCTTTCAGATATCAAACCCTGGAAAAAACACCCTCCAGAAAATGAAATTTTCATAAAGTATTTTTATTTATGGTACAATTTTATAAAAATAATTTCAATAAAATTAGTACAAAATCAATTTACAATATAATACAGCTGTATCCTCTTCAAAGAATAACACAGCAGACAAACTGTAAGTATCCAAATGCTAGGTGGACTCCAATATAAATAATATCTTGGACAAAGCACTAGTTTTATTCAGGTGTGCATATCAGGAACAATGAACAAAACCAACACCTGTTACTTCATGACACTTATAAGGTTCATCTGTAAAATTCACATTAGTAATATAACAGCTACAAACGGGATTCCCCAGAAAATAGCGTAATATTAGCTCTGCAGATAAAAGTTCTAGCCATTTTTATATAGTTATTTGATTGATGAAAGTTCTTGAACAAAAATCTGAACTCTGCTATCTATGTGGCACCTATATGCTCTGGAACCAGCTTAGAGTAACAGCAGTCTCTATATTAAGAATGACTGTTGTAATGTATTTTTTCAGTATGTTCAAAAACACCTTTTTTTGCTGAGCCAGTGTTTGGATTAATACCTCAATTTAGAACTGCAGGTACTGACTCTTCATGAGGTATATGTAAGAGCCAAAGCTCGCAACAATACTGCTGCCACAAGGAAGCCATTTTAAATTGTTCCCAGGGGGTGTTGATTCTTCATGTTGGTTTATCTAGGAGCCCATGAATACGTTTCTATATGCTGAGAAGTGTCCAGGCAACTGTAGCAGTTCATTGTTCTGACAGCTGCTACTGTCATCTGCAGAAAGCTTCTTTCCAAACATCTTTCAACACTGTTCCACCCATATTCATTCATCTCCTCCTTCTGGCATCAGGAACCTGTAGAAAGGTAGCTGTGGCTGCTAGCGGCTGCATTCTCCAAGAAGACTTTTGCCATATAGAGTATTGTTTAGGAGTTTCCTTGTGAACAGTGGTTGAATGGCAGCTTATGATATGTCCTGGTTCACCTCATAGATCAGACAATTTCCCACATGCATCACAAACCTATGAAATTTAGAGCAACCCTTGGGTAGAGGCCATATCGTGTACATCAGCCCTAAGATTTGTAGATATTCAGGTTTGTTAGACACTGTGTGCTTGTTTTGTTCATAATAGTCTGGAAAGATAATTTTTGCATTTGTTCAAAAAGTGAAAACATACTGAGCTCCTCCATGGGGCAGAATCTCTGTAACCCCCCAACCGACTACATTGCCACGGATGTTGCATGATTCTTCTTCACTCTGCCTTGTTATCTCTTTTTCACTTAGGACTCTGTTCCAAATGTTAAAGCCAGTTATTTTTCCAGAGAAAGCTAAGGATTCATTGAAACCACCTCCAACACAGCAGCCATTCTTTTCTTGGCCAATTTGCAGAATTCCAGCGTTTGGAATTATGTGTCCCTCAGCTATATTTGAGGAGGCCTTCACCAGCTTTCCATTTACAAACAATGACGCATCCCCATTAGCTGAATTCCAAATGCCACAAAAGTGTGTCCACTGTCCCGAAGTAATGACATTTGGGGCAACTATTTTGTTCAGGTCACTACTCACAGCAAGAACTGCCGAATCATAGCTAAGGTAAAGCTGGATTTCATAGGGATTTCTCTTGGTTCCATATGAGAAAACAATAGTTTTGTCAAGCATTTCAGTCACTTTGACCCACATGCAGGCAGAAAAGGAAGAGAGCATCATTTCAGTTGTTGGATGAACACTTGCAAATATTTTTTTGGAACGCATCGGGAATAAAAGAGCTGTCTCACAACCTGCCAAAAAAGGGGGAAAAGAAGCCATTATCAACCACTTAAGATTATTTACAAGACGCATGTGCATCTCAGATAACTGTAGAACAGTATAATTTGTTCACATAGTGCTGGGAACCTCTGTTTCCAATCAGCAAAATTCTTAGATACACCGTTTATGGGACAAATAATGGATTTGATACATATTGTTCAGCAATTCATAGGATTGGCAAACTAAGCTTGACTTTAAGACTCTACTACCTGCAGATTTACGCAGAAAACCTCAAAGAAACTGAAAGAGCACGGACATCTCAGTATTTCAATAAAATGTAACTGTGCCATATGTAGGCGTAGCATCAGTAGTGCTCAGCAGAGCCGTGAACTCCAATCTAGAGAGCTGGGTTTGATTTCCCCCTCCTCCACCTGAAGCCCACTGGGTGACAGTCACAGTTCTTTCAGAACTCTCTTAGTCCCACAAAGTCCCTGTGGTGAGGAGAGGAAGAGGAGGAGAGGAGATTGGATTTATACCCCGCCCTTCACTACCCAAAGGAGTCTCAGAGCAGCTTACAAACTCCTTTTCCCTTCCCCTCCCCACAACAGACACCCTGTGAGGTAGGTGGGGCTGAGAGAGCTCTGACAGAAATGGCTCATTTTCAAGAACAGCTCTTATCAGAACTACGGCTTGCCCAAGGTCATCCAGCCAGGTGCAAGTGGAGGAGTGGGGAATCAAACCCGGTTCTCCCAGATTAGAGTCTGCGCACTTAACCACTACACCAAATTGTGTAAACTGCTTTGAGACTCCTTAGGGTAGAGAAAAGTGGGATATAAAAACCAACTCTCCTTTTTCTCTTCACAAAGTACCCTTGCACTGCCACAGTTCCAATGTCCACCACCAATTATAGCTAGCCCCTCCCACCATATTATGGCACCAGTGTTCCCTTTAAGCTGAGTTAGTGTGAGCTAGCTCACAGTTTTTTAGCCTCCAGCTCACACATTTTGTATTAGCTCAGGAAGGATAGCTCCAGAGCAAACTAATTTATGCAGTAGCCAAATCACTCACTCAGCACTTTAACGCCAGTAGCTCACAAAGTAGAATTTTGCTCACAGGACTCCACAGCTTAGAGAGAGCATTATATGGCACTCTTTTTTGCTACTGGAAGCAGGGTTGGCCCCCTCTCCACCAAGCAAGCAGATCAGATAGAGACCAATAAATTTCCAAAATCAAACTGGATATCCAAAGGCACATGTTACCTAAGCATTTCTAACTCTATGCTTGTTCCCACATTCTGCACTTGACCCTCCCCACCCAGTCTCAAAGCTGTCTCTAATCTTTCTGCTGTACCATCAACGTAAGCAGTCAACTCAGGCTCAGGCTCCCATATTATCCTTATGTTTATCTCACTGGCTTTGCATAAACCCCCTGGCAAATGTTTATATATTTATTTAAATATATACCCAATATAATATTTAATGCACCAAAGGGGCTTCCAAAGCAGCTCACAAATTTTTTTGCAATGATATCATAATTAAATAAAAGTATTAGGACCAGAAACAATGTGGTATCAATTTTTAATTATGTGCTCTGTGACTCTTTATTGAATATGTTCTCCTCTCACTGCTGTTAACAGAAAGAGTTGACCGAGTTCCACGTGTGCATTTCAGCCTGATGTAATGGTTAGAGTATTCTGCTATAGCTTAGACAATCCAGTTTGATCACAGATGAAAGTCATTATAAACAGAAGTGCAAGCTATTACATAACGTTAGTTAGTGTCCTGAATATGCAGTTTGGGATAAAAACCTTAGCAGTCACATATACCTGTAAGTACAGATGCACAAAGGGAAACAAGGCAATTCCAACCCAATTAATGGAAAAGGGGGTGAATCTACACTACTGGTGGTGTTAGCTCCTTGTATCTGGTCACAGCTACATATGATCAGTACATTAGTCAAGTTATGAGAGTTTTCTGCTAGATTCCCATGACTACTTTTGACATAGTAAAGAGCTTTACTCCATTATTTTTCAATGAGTAATGGGTTGTTTTTTTGATGCTGCCTTCTGTGTGGTAAAGCTATGTATTTCCATGGCCTGATAATTAGTACATTTTTTTGTTTGTTTGTTTTAGAATTAATTTCAGTGTGATGTAACTTGCAGGTTTAGTTCTTGGTGGAAATATTACTTGACTTCCTTGTGGTTTTAATTCCTGGTAGAAATATTACTTGGCTTCCTTACAGATTTACTGCTTGGTGGAATTATTACTAGGCTTTCTTATGACACAAAAAAGATAATCGTGTATTTATAATCTTAACAGGATAATGGTGACTTTTGCCATAAGGACTAGATCTTATGTAGTGGTATATATGGTGCCAAAAAACAATTTCACTTTGATTAGTGGTAGACCAGTGTTGGATAGACCTAGATTCAAAGCCTCAGCCACGAATGTGATCCAAGTAAACTTGGGCCAGTCATTGTATCTCAGTCTGTCTCATAGCCTTGGTGTAAGGATAAAATGGGAAAGTGAGTACACAAGCCTCAGTTACTTGTAGAAATGTAGCAAATAAATAGGGTTGCCAAGTCCCTTTAAACTTACCGGCGGGGGAGGCTCTGCCGTCTCCGAGAGCTGGCTCTGGAAGCGCGCGCGCCACCAGCAGGTCAACGGAAGTGATGTGCAACGTCACTCACATTGGGGGCGTGGCCCAGATCGTCGGGGGGAAAACCATATGGTTTCCCCCAACGATCTGGGCCATGTCCCCAACGTGAGCGATGTGAGGTGACGCAGCTTTGGGGGGTGGAGTTCCCCCGGGGCCTGATTGCGCCGCGACGGAAATTGGGCCTCCAAAGTGGGGGTTTCCCCGCCCCCCCCACTTGGCAGCCCTACAAATAAATGTTATTGGGTCAACAATGGTTAATCATTGGAATACTTTAATAAATAGAAGGTGGACTGAGATTTTAGAGATATTATTGTTGCCAGATTAATATGCAGTACTAAATGAAGAATGCATCTCAAATTCATCCCATTTATTGCTATCTTGAAATTATAGCTTTAATAAAGTAAAGATTGTTCAACATTATGGCTTTCTTGCACTGCTGGAAGATTCCTTTTTACTCATTTAGCTAGACAAGGATTATGAGGAACCCAGCAAATAATAAAAAACATTAAAATCAGTTTTAAAATTAAAAATGATTAAACAAAACACATAAACAGGAGGGGGGAGGATCAGGGAGGGAACACCAAGAAACTAGAAAAGTCTTCACCAGCTAGTGGAAGACAATGATAGTAGTGACCAAACAAGTCTCCCTGGGGAGGGAATTCTATAATTTTGATGTCACAACCAGTGTTCCCTCTAAGTTCCACAGTGTTGTGAGCAGAAATTCTACTTTGTGAGTGAAAAAAGCTAGTAGCATTAGAGTGAGTCTACATTTGACTACTGTGTAAATTAGCTTTTTTAGATTACTTCCATAATCTTGAAAAAATCTCAGAATAAATTCTTTTAAATTATATTTAAACTGTATTTTCAGAATAATTTAAACATTATGAGAGAAAACACCCCTTTCCACTATATTGGTAGACCTGTCCTCCAGAGAACAGGTCTACCCATGCCTTTCCACTATATTGGTAGACCTGTCCTCTGCAGGACAGGTCTACCCACCCCTTTTCACTATATTTATAGACCTGGCCTCCAGAGAATGGGTCTACCCACCTATTTCCACTATTTTGGTAGACCTAGCCTCTGGAGAACAATGTATCCACCCTGGTCCACTATATTGGTAGACCTGGCCTCTGGAGAACAGGTCTACCCACCCCAGTCCACTATATTGGTAGACCTGGCCTCAGACCGTTGCCTTGTGTTGAGCCTTAGAAAACATACCAGCAATTTGGGGGGAGGGGGGAACTCTTGCAGTCTACATTGGTTTTTTTTGTTTTTAGTGAAATATGACAACCAGCATTACAGGTCAAGTATAACAGAGGAGGAACAATCACTGTCAGAACCCTGCCTAACCTAACAGGAAGCTGCTTAAATGCTATCAACCTGCCCAAACTACTTATTTATTCAAATATTTATATTGCACCTTTCCCTGTGACCCAAGGCAGCTTACAAATCATACTGAAAAGCATAATAGAGATGTGCAAAAAATAATAATAATTTTTCCAGTTCCATTGTATCCTATGGGGATTATTATAGTCAATGGCTCCATAGGCTATAATGGAGAATCGATCTGGGGGGTATCTGGGGCTCTGGGGGGGTTAGGTAGAGGCACCACATTTGCAACATAGCTGCTGGTGCCTCTCCTCAACCCCCCCACCCCAAGTTTCAAAAAGATTGGACCAGGGGGTGGTGGGAGGTGCCCCATCCTCCATTGTTTCCAATGGAGGGGAAGAATGCCTTGTGAGCAGAAGCAGAAATCCCTGTGTTGCCATAGAGATTTAGGAAATTGCTAGAACATCTCAGTGATATGTGTCATCATTTCCAGTTATGTGACCAGAAGTGATGTCACCATGGTGTCACTTTCACATTCCATTTTGCTCCCACTGCTGTACTAGGAAGCAATAGGAAGCCAGAGGGTGGGGGCAGGAGGTCTCCTGCAATAGTGGGAGACCTGGTCTGCCTAATCAAGCCTCAGGTGATGGGGGAACCTGAAGCAGATGTTGGGGGCACCCTGAAGATGGCCAGAGTTATGAAGTAGTTTTATATGAAGTAGGCAGTCCTATTATTATTTTCATTTTAATGGCAATATAGGCTCATTGATATTTTTGATTTTTTAAAAATAATTATCTATATCGCCAATTGTGTTAATGAAAAATAAAAGAACAATCTTTTTGCTGTAAAGGAAAAAAGGAATAATGAACGCATGCACACACCCAGAAAAAGGAACCATTCAGAAATACCAGGGACCAAGACAGAACGTAACTAAATGTGGACAATCAAAACTTGTTAACAAGAGAGGCAAAAAGTCATGCCTCAGTTGTGCTTGCCAACCCAAAAAAGTTTTGTTTTAAGTGAAAAACAAATTAGGTCTTTATCAAAGAAGGAAAAATAGCACACACATTTATTTATTTACTTCATTTATACCCCACTTTTCTCCCAGGTGGGGACCCAAAGTGCCTTACAAGATTTTTCTCTCTCTCCATTTTATCCCCACTTTGAACCTCTGAGGTAGGTTAAGCAGAGCGTATGTTACTGGCCCAAGGTTACCCTGCAAACTGCCATGGCAGAGTGAGGATTCAAACTTGGGTTTCCCAGATCCTGGTCTGACACTCTAACCAAACACAACACTTGAAAACACTGGAATAGGGGTGTGCATTTGGTATGTTTTGGCATTTTCCGGGTATTATTACAGGTATTTGGGGGGTATTATTTAAGCCGAATACAGAGGCAGAGATTCTGATCAGCTACCGATATTGCTGAGCCCAAATAAAAACCATTTTTTTCAGCTTTTATTCAAAGAGTTATACCTAATGGCTGGTGGGCTCTTGCATCTCAGTTTAAACCAAGCTGTAAGAGGAGCCAGCCCCAGCCAAAGTGGTGTGGAGCTCTCAGCTCCTGCTGCCCCAGCTGATCCTCTCAGGTCTGCATGTGGTGGCAAGAGACTCCCTGCCACACAGGACAGCTTCTCCTGTGACCTGATTTAAACTGCACTGCAGGAGAAGACCTCTCAGCCAGGTCCACAGCACACAGATCCTGGGTTTAAACCAGGCTGCAGGAGAAGCCAAGCCAGGTCCAGGGGTTGACTGGCTTTTTTTTCTTCTTAATGGCATTTCCCTTCTTGGATTTATTGCCCCCCCCCCCAAAGAAAAATGGGATTTCTGAAAAATCCCAGATCCCAATAGTATATTGGTATTGGGATCCTGGATTTTTCAGAAATACCAAAAATTTTCCAGGTCTAATAGAACTGCACTGAAAGATGCTGATTTGTTTTTGGTTTTTTTGCACACTCCTACACTGGAATGAATCACCATGACTGTAGTGTTATCAGGGTTCTGGAACACACATGAAAACACCTTATACTGAATGAGGCTATTGGTCAGAAGAACTGTCTACTCAGAGTGGCAGCGGCTCTCCAGGGTCTCAAGCAGAGGTCCTTCACAACACCTTCTACCTGGTTCTTTGAACTGGAGATGCTGAGGGTTCAACCTGGGACCTTCTGCATGCCACAAAGATGCTCTACCAGGGAGCCACAGCCCCTCCCTTTGTAATAACCGAGAGAAAAATCAAGGTATTGTACAGTAAAAGATAACTTGCAACTAGTAACCTTTTCTACTTATTGGGCTGCATTAAATAATTCTGAGCATTCAGAACTGGACACAAAGAGATGGTTCAGCATTTAGCAGGGGTACTGGTTTAAAGAGCAAAGAGCTCTGTGTATAAATGACCTTTTAATTAGTAGAATTTCTAGCTTTATTATTGAGTAAGCAAAATCAAAACCAGTTTCATAAGCAACCAGCAACAGTATAATTAGAAAACCCTTTCAGAGTCAACCTGGCAGGAATCCAGATAATGTGAGAAATCAAAACCAGTTGCTGAAAACTCTTTTAGAAGAGATTTCCAGAGGGATTTATGAGGCATTTCAAACATCTACTCTTCTTGTTCATAATCAAATCATGACTTTTCTTTCCCCCCTTCAAAATGTATGAAACCAAATGCTTCTGTTATGGATTAAGAACAGGTTCTGTGAAGTCAGTGGAATTATTCTGTAGAGCACAAATCCAACCAAAATTAAACATTTTGACTTCAATGGGGGGAAAAATGTAAGCATTTATCTGAGGCTGGATCTATACATTACAGCCAGTCTATGTTTCCCAAAACTCCTCCTCCTCTCTTCCCTCAACAAAATTTGATAGTGCAAAACATGTGACATGATGACATCATTGTGTTGTGATTCCCCCCCCTTTTCATGTTGTAGTCAATGAAGTCAGGTGGGGGAGGGGAAACTTCCAATGGGATGATGTCATATTTTACGTTACTAAATATTACAGGGATGGGAGTATGAGGAGATGAGGGGTTGCTGCTTCCAGCTGTAGCCACATGTTGGCCACACTATCCACTTATGATATAACTCTCCCATTGAAATCCCTAAGTGATCCAGCTGGCTCATACCATTTATTATCACTGTAGTACAAATGTGCACAACTGGGACCCACATGAATTGTTTCTCTTTTATTTCATGAGTGAATGCCAAAAGAGAGAGAGACTACAGCAGAATGTTAACTTGATGTTTCCAGTTTTAGTAAGACAAAATGCTAATAAACAAAAATGAGCGGCTAATCGTTCCTGGTACCTTACTAAAATGATTAAATAATAATTTAAATAATTCCTTATACAAGTCTAAGAATTTTTTTCAATGCAAAATCATATTTTGCTGATTATTGTGTAGCTATTAGCACCATCTGTGTTACTGAGCAGATCTTTCCACCTGACCACAAGTGTGCATGTATATATTCTGTTGTAACTGAAATAACTTTTGCACCAGAAAGAACAACAGGAAGGTACAATGTAGAATGCTTAATAAGGCTGAACATTTTCTCCACTCTAATACATCTGAAAGGATTTTGAGTGTAGATGATACCATTCTGGTTGGATGTGCAGGAGTCTGATTTACTGTGTTAAAAATATGCAATGATTTTTGTTTTAATCTAGTGAGATTTGGGCTTGCAGAAGAAATGACATGGGATATTTAACCATCTGCCTAAATTTCAGCCTCACTGACATTGAAATAGAAGAAGAAGAAGAAGAAGATATTGGATTTATACCCCACCCTTCACTACCCAAAGGTGTCTCAGAGTGGCTTACAAACTCCTTTCCCTCCCCCTCCCCACAACAGACACCCTGTGAGGTAGGTGGGGCTGAGAGAGCTCTTGACAGAAACTGCCCTTTTTCAAGAACAACTGTGCCAGAGCTACGGCTTGCCCAAGGTCATCCAGCCAGGTGCAAGTGGAGGAGTGGGGAATCAAACCCGGTTCTCCCACTTAACCACTACACCAAAAAGCAGCTTCTATATTTCACAGGCAGCTATTCTTTTGGATACCAAAGATAGATACTGCTAAGCTAAATCTCCATTCAGGTGAAACATTAATGTCACAGAGTAGGCGGAGTTTAGCTTTTGCTCATTTTGTGTGGTTCATTCTAAAAGGCCTATTCCTATATTACACTAACATTACTGCTACATTGCTTTTTTAAAGTAATTCTTATAGATTTCTTTAGTCAGGTACCATATTAACCTACAGTCAGCTTAGAAGTCCTGGTTATGCAACAAGTTGGGGGAGGAGTATGAAATTCCAAGATATTAGCTATTTCATTATAGTAATTATTTAAATAATGTGTAGCATGAATCATAACATCTAAAACTTCACATATGAATGATTGCTAGAGTTGAGATATCAAAGCACTGGTCTTTCCAAGGAGGGAGGTAGAAAAATCTTTGTGATGTATGCACTACCCAGATTTGCTACACAGGGTAAAAACTGTTCTGCCTTCCTGAACCTCTGTGGAGAATCCATTTATGCCCTGAAGCTTGAGAGTTGATGAATAGCCTGTTGACATAATCAGTGGGCTCACAGGGTCACATTCTGCACATAAGTAGCCTCCAAGGAATGCAGTGAAGGAGGCAGGTTAGTAGGAGGGGAGGAAAGGCAGGACTGAAAAGAAACAGGGCAGACTTTTTAGAGCATTATGGTGGGGTGTTGTTGTTGTTTTGCAAAGTATTGAATAAGTATGTAAATCTGTGGCTATGCACATGGCAGACAACAAGATGTCAAGGCTTTGCAAATATTTTCAGTAATTCTATAAGGCCTTCCAAATACGTTTGCTGTGTTTGGACCAGTTCAGAAACCTGTCATTGTGCAGTCAAAACATAAGCCCTGAAGATTCCTTCAGCATCTTTTCACACATAGTCCTAGCCATGCCATGGTTCAGCTTGTTTTTGTGCTGTGTGTACCTGTTCATTGGCTACCATATTGTATTCATTGGGCTAGTCTGTAAAGACAGTGTGCTGCAACTCAGGCTTTATAGTAATGTTTCCTCTTGTGTATTCGAGGCACCAGGTGACAGTGTTTCGCCGAATTCCTGAACATGGCTGTTTGGAAGCAGATGTAAAATGTGTTACTAGCACTGACTGTGACAAACAGAGCTTTAACTTACCGATTGGCAGTAAGTTCTGCGTTTTCTTTCTGTGGGATTCCTTTAGTTCAGCTTTGGCTTCCTGCAGCTCTTGCCAGAGTGAGTTCAGAACGAAACTGTCTCCTCTCGTCATGTAGTCTTTCTCCGGCAAGCCCCTCTGCTGAATATCCAGCTCTTCTTTCCTCCGCCAAGCGTGCTCCAGACGGCTGAGTCGGCTGGACACGTTTTGACTCAGCTGTAGAATCTCTTGGAGGACTTTGCCTTGCTCTGATTCATGGAGCATCACAGACCGGTCCTCAGCTTCCTGGTTCTTCCTTTCCAGCATCTGGTCCAGTTGGCTTGAAATCCAGGAGGTGGCTTGCTCACTGGCTGTGATGCAATGGCTAGAAAAGTTCTCCACAAGCTGGAGCATTTCACCCCTCAGTCTCTGCAGCTCCACCTTGAGGATTTCATCCAGGGAGTGGAGCAGCATGTTCTCTTTCATCTGCGAGTTCTCGAGCATGATGAAGAGCTTGTCCCATTCCGTGTGCTCTCGTTGACAATCGCAGGACACAGCTAGAACAAAACACAGAGCAGCAGTTACACCACCTTTCTGTGCTGGATGATTTGCTTTAAGCACTGGTGCAGCGTAAAAAGACGTGTCTCTCAGATTGTCTGCAGACTCCCAAAGTGCCAGGGATTTCCCCAGAAAGTAAGGGAAAGGCATGACTTGGTCAAAAAGCAAGGGTTGTTATTTCAACCTCCGCATTATGAAAAGGGAGGAAGGGGCTGAGGAATCTGCCGGGTGAAGTGAGAGTCTTGTTACACTAACTCTATTTTTGTATCAGCTGCCTACAGCTTCTACAGCAGGGGAAGAATAAATATTGCAGTCTCCGAATGCTCTTTCTTTTGTTGCTAGACAAACAGCTCACTTCTACTTAAACACTGTTAAGACACAGGCAAAAATAATATCCCCAACCCCCCCAAGTCCTACTTACTTTCTTCTGTTGGAGGGATTTCTATTTCATTGTCAAAATTTAGGTCAAAGAAGTCTTCGTAGTCATCTTCATTCTGGGTAGATGAGAAAGACCAGAGAGAGAGAAAAATAAACAGAAAGGGAAACATTTCTTTTGAGTGGGAGTCACAAGCAGTTTCCTTGGAAGTTTCAGCCTCTCCTCGACTGAAAGGTCTCCAGTGAGTCCCAAGCAGAGATGATTCTGTAAGACGGAGGTGCAGAAGCCCTTAAATATTGCTGTGAGACTGCCTGAACTTGAATGAATGAGTAATGCTAGTCCTGGTGCTGTAATAGGAGTGCTTCTGGTTATTATTAATTTTTTTTTGGATGGGAGCTGTGAGGAGGGGGAGGCGTGGAGGTTGCACAATCCCAAACTTTAAAAGTTTGAGCCGATGGGAGGATTAACTAGGAAAGTGACAGGCGAAACAATGGAAAACTGTTCTTGCATATTGCGAAACTCCTTTGAGACTAGATTTAAAAAAAAAAACCATTGGTCATCCTATAGGATAAAAAGCAGAATGAATAAATAAATTGCAAAATTTTCAAAACTTTATTTTGCAATCCTTTTGTAGCACATACTGAACTGCTATGATTTTTGCAGTAATGTTAGGTCCCAAAATTAAATGTCCCTGCTGGAGCTTACAGTGTGGCGATTTCAGGATATTGTCTTATCAAATGTTTTGTCCACTAATACGATGTGTGGGGTGCAGAGAGGTCCTGTATATAGCAAAGAATCCCGTTTTGCAGTAGGAGTGGATGGATGATTTTTAAAAAGTCAGTCAGTGCTTTCAGCCAACCACCAGTTGAACAAATTCCATATTTCTCTAAATCTGGTGATTGGCTCACTATTGTAGATGTGACCCAGGGAGGACCCGGGGATGTGACCCACTGTTCACAAAGTTCCAGATGCCACATACTGCACTTTTTTGCATTACTTGACTTATCCTATCCAGGAGAATAAGCCGTGCTAGCCCAGAGCATCCCTTGTATTGCCTACATTCACAATAATCCTGCAAGATGGATCAGTATAATCTCCATTTTACAGACAGAATAACAAAGGCTCAGAGAGAGAGTGACTCACTCAAAGGTGTCAACCTCACACCTGATGACACAGGTTCAACGTTTATGAATGAATCCAAGATTTGTTCCACTGTTCTGGAACACCTCACAGATAAAAGAAAGGGTGACTTCTCCAAAGACTGGGCTGGTTTTGATAGCTCATTTCAATCTATACTTTGTTCTTGGTTGACTGCACCAGTATGGTGAAGCGCTCAGAGTGGTGGACTATGATCTGGGAGACCCAGGTTCAAATCCCTGCCTGGGGCAGTCACGCACTCTCAGCCTAACCATTGTTGTGGGGATAAAGTGGAGGAGAGTAGATTTATGAAAGCCACTTTTAGGACTGGTCTTCAACTACAAAGATAAAAAAGAAAAGATAGACTCTGTTTTAAAAGCGAAAAAAAAGCGAAGATATTCTTGGAACAGCAACAAAAACCAGCGAACAAAAAAGATACAGCAGAAGAACAAGATATCGAAGAAAAAAGCAGCACACATGGGTCGGGAGATACGGAATCAACAGCGAGTAGTAACCCTAGTAACAGCGAGTAGTAATTCTGAATCAGAATTAGGGGAGGCAATGCCAAAAGTCCTGAAAGTCAAATGGAAATATGAAAAGAAGAAAAATAAAGGGAAGAAACAGATTTAATAGAACTGTATGAGCCTAAAAGTCTTATTGTTTGTATTTACTTGATTCAATTATAGATTTACCAGTCTGTAACAGAAGCGGTCCACTTCAGCCTCTTCTGCATCAGTGGTTGGGGCATAGACTTGGATTACTGTGATGTTGAATGAAGACCTATAGAACTAACACCAAAAAATGATGTCCTCATCATCATAGGGGACTGGAATGCTAAAGTAGGAAGTCAAAAGGTAACCGGAACAACAGACAAGTTTGGCCTTGGAAAGCAAAATGCAGCAGGGCAAAGGTTAACAGAGTTTTGTCAAGAGAACACACTGGTCATAGCGAACACCCTTTTCCAACAACCTAAGAGGCGACTCTACACATGGACATCACCAGATGGGCAACACCGAAATCAGATTGACTATATAATTTGCAGTCAAAGATGGAGAAGCTCTATCCAGTCAGTAAAAACAAGACCTGGAGCTGACTGTGGCTCAGATCATGAGCTACTCATTGCAAAATTCAGACTTAAACTGAAGAAAATCGGGAAAACCACGAGGCCATTCAGGTTTGACCTAGATCGCATCCCTGATGAATATACAGTAGAGGTGAAGAATAGATTCAAGGGTCTGGATTTGATAGATAGAGTGCCTGAAGAACTATGGACAGAGGTTCGTGACATCGTACAGGAGGCAGCAATCACCACCATACCAAAGAAAAAGAAATGCAAGAAAGCAAAATGGCTTTCTGATGAGGCTTTACAAATAGCAGAGGAAAGAAGGAAAGCGAAAGGCAAAGGCGAAAAGGAAAGATTTACCCAACTGAACGCAGATTTCCAGAGAACAGCAAGGAGAGATAAGGAGGCCTTCCTGAATGAACAGTGCAAAGTAATAGAAGAAAACAATAGAATGGGAAGGACTAGAGATCTCTTCAAGAAAATTGGAGAAATCAAGGGAGCGTTCCATGCAAAGCTGGCCATGATAAAGGACAAAAACGGTAGGGACCTAACAGAAGCAGAAGAGATTAGGAAAAGATGGCAAGAATACACAGAAGAACTATACAAGAAAGACCTCAATGTCCTTGACAAACACGACGGTATAATCACTGACCTTGAGCCAGACATCCTGGAATGTGAAGTTAAATGGGCCTTAGAAAGCATTGCTAACAACAAAGCTAGTGGAGGTGATGGTATTCCAGCTGAGCTATTCAAAGTCTTAGAAGATGATGCTGTTAAAGTGCTGCACTCCATTTGCCAGCAAATTTGGAAAACGCAACAGTGGCCACAGGATTGGAAAAGATCAGTATACATTCCAATCCCAAAGAAGGGCAATGCCAAGGAATGTTCAAATCAGACCACCTCACATGTATCTTGAGAAACCTGTATAAGGGTCAAGAAGCGACAGTTAGAACCGGATATGGAACAACTGATTGGTTTCACATAGGAAAAGGAGTACGACAAGGATGTATATTGTCACCTTGCTTATTTAATATATATGCAGAGTACATCATGCAAAATGCTGGCCTGGATGAATCACAAGCGGGAATTAAGATTGGACTGCAAGAAGATCAAAGACCCTGATGCTGGGAAAGATTGAAGGTCAAAGAAGACGGGGACGGCAAAGGATGAGATGGTTAGACAGTGTCATAGATGCAACGAACATAAAATTGAGCAAACTTCAGAGGACAGCGGAAGACAGGAGGGCCTGGCGTGATCTGGTCCATGGGGTCGCAAAGAGTCGGACTCGACTGTGCGACTGAACAACAACAACAGAAGCGGTAGAAATTAGCTATATGCCAAAAACTATTTCTTTATAGAGAGAGCTTTAGCCAAATATGCATCTAATCAATATATATGATCCTTGTATAGCTTATTTTAGGTTAGTGTTAGTGTTTGTAGTGTTTGTAGTGAGAGAATAATTTAAAAATATTAAAACGAAAGCCACTTTTGCTCCCCAGTAGGGAGGAAAGTGGGGGTATAAATAAAGTAAATTAATTAATTAATCTGTTGAGTGCCCCACATACACTGGTGTGTAATGTACTGAAGACATCTCCCCTGTGAGTTCTGCGAGGATCGGGCAGTTTCAGGAGGACGCTGTGTCTTGTGGCTGCCACTGAAAGCAGTGTCTCTGTGTCTCCCCCTCCTTTGTCTAGACGCTGCCAGAGGGGCAAGAGATAGAGGGGACGTGATGCTGCTATTTTCTGCAGCAGCCGCACTTCTCGTGCCACATCTAGTTCTAGTGTGATGTGAGTGCCAGACGTGAGTCTGTATGATCCATGTTGCAACCAGATCCCTAGACATGCCCTGCCATGCAAAATGAATGATTTGCGTCATTCATCTTGATATTACAGTAACATTTGAAATTAGCCCTCTGATTCAATAGCCAAGGGATATGAGACATGTTTGCACCCAATGGCTGCTTTTAACCCTGGCTTTTATTTTATGCCAATCTCAATATTCAGAGCAGGATATTCTTCTTCAACCCCGACAGTCTACAGAGCCAGCATGGTGTAGTGGTTAAGAATGGTGGACTCTAATATGGACAACCAGGTTTGATTCTCCACTCCTCCACAGGAAGCCACCTGGCTGACCTTGGGCCAGTCAGCATTCTTTCAGAACTCTCTCAGCCCTACTTACCTTGTAAGGTGCCTGTTGTGGGGAGAGGAAGGGAAGGTGATTGCAAGCCACTTTGAGACTCCTTAGGGTAGAGAAAAACAGGGTATAAAAACAAGTTCTTCTTCCTCCACATGTAAATCAAGAAGGAAGCCAAGTCCACAAACTTACTGGTTCCATTTGAATATTCTCTTTTTGAGTCTGCTTCACCCTCATGAGAAACAAACCCATGACACTTTTATTTTCTTTTTGCTGACAATGTCCTGTAAAAGGTATGTATTTTTGTGCATCGTTTGCATAGCTGCATATAAATGGCATTAAACTGCCATAAAAACAAAAGAATTGTCAATGACCACAACAAAAATAAGGCCAACATTAATGGCAATGGAAACATAGAAGATTTTAAAAGAAACGAAAATGTAACATCCGTAACATGAATGACATATTTGCTACGTGCTAATGGGGCCATGGTGGCTCAGAAGTTAAGATAATGAGTTGCAGACAGGAAGGTCTGTAGTTCAGCAGTTCAAGACCCTAGTGCTGCATGACGGAGTGAGCTCCCATCTCTGGCCCCAGCTCCTGCCAACCTAGCAGTTCGAAAGCAAGAAAATGCAAGTTGATAAATAGGTATCACTTCTGTGGGAAGGTAACAGCATGCTGTGTACCTCGGCATTTAGTCATGCCGGCCACATGACCACAGAAATGTCTTCGGACAGTGCTGGCTCTTCTGCTTGGAAACAGAGATGAGTACCGCCCCCTAGAGTTAGATTCGACTGGCTTTTGAGCAAAGGAAACCTTTACCTTTTACCTTTACCTTAATGGGGACTTGCTCTAATCTGAGCTGTTCCAGCATTATTATACACCACAGGCATTCTGTTAATGAGGATTGTTCAACTATTAATTCACCAGCACAAATACTTCGCATAGCCTGTTAATCAAAGCAGGTGCTTGGCAAGAGACAGCAAAGAAGGTTTAGTAAGACTTTTTAAAGCTGTCATAGATGGCTGGTGGGATGTGTTCAATTTGGCCAGTCACAAGTCGGGTGAGTCTGCTATAAGCATGGGGTGAATTGGTTCAGTGTTGTATGAATGTGAATTTTCTTGCTGCAAAAACAGAACACTTTCAGAACATCGTTTGTCAGTCATCTTAGGACAGAACTCCTACTGAGAGGGAAATCTCAGGAGAATGTCTGGCATAATGTTTTGTTCTCTATTAAGTATACATGAATACAAAATATACTCACGCACATCACATCAGTTTGGAATTGTGCAAGTATATTTAAATGCTGCTTTTCTTGGCAAGATGCATGGAATTGGCGCATGCAGGAAAGGATCACAACAACCCATTTTTCATTTTGATTGCTGAGAAAAGTCAGGTGAGAAATGACTCTCACAGTGACTGCAAAAAGATGGAACAATTTCCTCAGGAGGCTTAGTCACGTCTGCTGCAAAATATATTTTTAATTCAATTTTGAATTTCCACAGTTCAAACATGGCTGCTTGCATAACATATCAGTATTGAAAACCCATCTATTGCCTGAATATAAACTTTTCAGAATACAAATGGTATGAAATTGTACATCAGTGGTGGCAGTAATCATGTTTTGAGGCAAGACAAGTTTTCTGGAGCAGGGGGTTCCACAGTCTTTAAACTGGATCAAGAAACAAGCTAGTAGCCAATGCACTTGGCCCAATATTGGTGAAATACGATCTCTGCAGGGGCTCACAATTAAAAACCTTGCTTGCATTGGGCACCAGTTAAAGTATTCAGACATTCTTCAAAGTCAGTCCTGAATATAGAACATGTTGCAGTGATCCAGCCTGGATGTTACCAAGGCATGTGTAACTGTGGTCAGATTTGCTTTCTCTACAAGTGCCCCCATTGATGAGACTGCAATGTAAAGAGGTAGAACACAGTCCTGGCAACTTCAGCAATTTACTTCTCAAGCGACAGAACCAGATCCATAAGTATCCCCAGACTGTGAACTTGATTCTTCAGGAGAAGGGCAGTTCCATCCAGTGCTAATTGTAAACTTACACAGCTCAGCCTGCTGACAGTGGACTGTCTTGTCTAGTAGTTTAAGCTTTGGTTTATTTGTCCACATGCATCCCTTCACCATCTCCAAACATCAATTAAGTGCTTTGCCTTTATCTCTAGAATTAGAAAGAAGAATTAGGTTTGTGTATCGTCAGCATATTGATGACACTGCACTACAAATATCTGGATAACCTCTTTGTTGTATATTAACCAAGTACTGTGCACGCGGTCGGGGTTTGCACATGGCCATGCGAACGGGTGTAGCTTCACATCAGAGAACAATGCAAAGCGCGGATCCTAGAATGGACCAATAGGTTAGCTCAGATCCAAGAAAGGACCTTTGGTGTATGAGTGCAAAGAGTAAACCTATCACGGGGAGTGGGGTGTGGTTTCTTTGGGTGATTTAAGATGGATTTCAGGCCAGCTATCTTGTCTCAGTTTCTCTTGTCTCCAATAAATTATGAGCTAAATCACTACAACGCATCTAGAACTCAGTACTTTATACTGGCGACGAAGGTCCCAATGAGCGACTCTGCCTCCAACTCTGCCACTAGCACCGCACTGTGCACCAGCCTCCAGGCCCCGCATCACATCAGCACTCCGAGTCATGGCAGCTACTTCAGGACAGATCTCTATCTTCGAACCAGCTCACCTGGAGCTGTGGGAGGCCTGGGTTGAGCAACTTACCTATTTCCTCCGGGTCCAGGGAACAACCGATGCTGATCCGAAGAAATCATGGCTACTCAGCATGTGCAGAGTCTCCACGATCCGCCTGGTGCAGGGCCTCATCACACCCAAGACGTTGGACGCCGTGACATTCGAGGAACTGGTAAAGGCCCTCACCGATCATTTCGTGTCGAAACCATCCAAGATGGCGATGCGCATGGACTTTTTTGCGTGAAACCAAAGACCTGGAGAATCAGCTGCTGACTTCATGACAGACATTTGCAGACTAGCAATCGACTGTGAGTTCCCTGCTATCAAGGATGCCCTTTTGAACCAATTCATCTGGAGCATCCAAGAGCCAAAACTCCACCAGAAGTCGGCCTCGAGGACATCAAATTGGACAAGGCACTCCAAGTGGCCACAGCATTAGAAAAGTCCCAAAAAGGCTGCCAGGCATCGGCGGCCCACCACACATCCACCAACCCCATCTCAGACCCATCAGATGAGGAGGACATCCTTCAGGTTCGCTGTCAGGCCAGCTGAGGGCCATGGCTGCCATCTGGAACCGCCCCGCACTCAACGCAAGCAAAGCACAACCGACGTGCGCCAGCTGTGGGGGTCCGCATGAACACTGCTCCTGCCAGTTTCAGGATGTAACCTGCCGGTCCTATGGCAAGACAGAACACATTGCATGGGCCTGCCATTCCCGCAGAAGCAGACAACAGACGACACATCAGGAATCGACGGACCTGCACACCACATCAGCCAACCACCACCACCAGGTACTGAATTTGCCCTGGGACTATCTTGTCTCAGTTTCTCTTGTCTCCAATAAATTATGAGCTAAATCACTACAATGCGTCTAGAACCCAGTATACTCTTCCACTAGTTTCTTATAGATGGTAAATAGCATGGTAGATGCAGGGAAAATCACGCAAAGCTGCAAGGCAAAATGCAGCCGTGCAGCAGCTTGTGTGAAATTGACATGAACCATCGGGGCAAAGAGAAGAGTGAGTGCGGAGCAACGCTTGTGGGAAATCACCCTCAGATTCACCGTTCAACCAGGTGGGCAACCAAGACAATTTATTTTCTTGAGTGGATTAGTCTGGTATAAATTTGAATGGATTAATCAGGCATAAGATGTTTCCTTTTTATTAATTTATGTATGTACGTATGTATGTACTGAGTGTGTCAATGCAGCCAATAGGATAGGATATCCAATAAGCAGTGTAATGGGACTTAAAGCCAGGTAAACAACCTGGAACAAAGCTGAAATAAAGTGAAATTATTAACATAGTACATTAAACAATGCAGAAGTTACATAACAGTAGTCCACAGCTTTTCCTTTATTAAAGCATTCTTCCTTAATCAATTCCATTACAATAAAACCCTTTGTAAAAATGCCATCCCGAATCATTCTGTATTGCAGAGTTTGTGACATGCGAGGAGGAGTGTGGGAGCCTTCCTGACCACATTAAGCAGGCCACTCCATTAGGTGAGGGTCACAGTGGGGACTTGATCCTGCCTGTTTGCAGGGTGGCACCTGCTTGAAGGCCTTGCTCAGATGAGTGAAGCTGTTGGGGCAGAGCATAAGAGGTGGTTCTGCAGATATGAGGGCCAAGGCCATGAAGGGCTTTGTATATGATAACCAGTAACTTGAACTGAACCCAGATTGAAGTCCAGCAGCACATGAGAGACCAACAAGATTTTTGGTGTATATATAAGCTTTTGAGAGTCAAAGTTCCCTTTGTCAGATACGAAGGGAGCATTGACTCTCGGACACTTATATACCCAAAATCTTGTTAGTCTTGAAGGTCCTACTGGATGCCAATCTAGCTGGCCTATTGCAGACCAACATGACTACCCTCTGAAACTATCTTAAACGGAACCCAGTAACTGATGGGTAGCCAATGGAGTGACTGCAGAGTGGGGATAATATGCATGGTATGCCTAGCTCCTTGTAATAACCAATCTGTGGCATACTGCACCAAGTGGGGTCTCCAAGTTGACTTTGAAGGTAGACCTTTATTGAGTGCTACAGATTTCCCATGTCAAGGTAGTGGACCATCTTCTAGGGTAAACTAACTTGGTAGAAAGAGGGTTTTTTGGCGTCTGCCTTAACTTGTTTCTCCAGCAGTAATGTTGGATCCAGTATAACCCCTAAACTATTGACTGAGTCAGTGTGGGTCAGCTGAACCCTATTGAAGGTGGGAAGCACAATGTATTTCAAGATCTCTGCCTTTCCAATCAGCATTATTTCTGTCTTGTCAGGGTATAGTTTCAATTTGTTCACTCTTAGCCATTTAACTACAGCAGACAGGCAGGAATTCAGGACTTCTACCACATCACTTGGAGATTTGAATAAGGAGATAAAGAACTGGGCGTCTTGTGTTCATTGCATTGGAATAACTCATCCATGGAACATTTTTCAATTGGAAATATCCATTAGCAAACTTTAGCCTCACACTTTTTTCCTTCACAAGGACCCAACTTTTTCCTAAGCTTTATATGAGAAAGCACCTGTTGTTTAAGAATAAACAAGAGGGGGACCCGCAATACTCGTGGGGGGGGAGAAGAGCTCCATCTCCTCCATCCCCCCCGCTCGATCTCCCCGAGGCCGCGGTGGCGAGGCTGGTCCTCCACCCCGCCCGGCTCTGAGGCGGCGGAGGCGAGTCCGGTTCCCCCCCGCCCGGCTCCGAGGCCGGTCCTTTCCCCCCCTTTGCCGGGCTCGGCGGCAGGCGCGGCAGCGGCGACGGTCCTCCCCACCCGCCCGCCCGGCTCCGAGGCGGCGGCGGCAGCGGGGCAGCGAGGCCAGCTACAGAGCGTTCCCTGCGCATGTGCAGGGGACGCTCTGTCACTTTCGGGGGATTTAAACATCCCCCCAAATTTTTTTTCAACTTTTTGGATTTTTATGCACACGTTGGGACCACCCCACGTGTGCACAAACCTTCCCCTCCCCCCCAAGTGCCCCCGGAGTGCGGATTTAGCGGTCCGCACTCACGGGGGCAACTTGGCTATTAGATATATAGATATCTGTTCACATACTGTTGAAGAGGTGAAAATGGTCTCCAAAGGCAATTTCTAACCACACCAGACCAGGGATCTCTCCACTCTTCAGAGCTATCACCCTTTTTAGCCTGGGTAGGGGAATTCCTTCTTTGTCTAGAAGATTTATCCCCTTTCATTGGCCTGTCATCCTTGCAGTCATCCTTGCCAACTTTCTTCAGTTCTCCTGTCTGTGTTAAACTGCTCTCAGTCAGGGTTGAATTCTGAAACTTTCAGTAGTCTACTCTTCTCAGCTAGGGCGGAAACCGGATTGTCAGTACTCAGCTCAGTCAAGGCATAAATGTGACTGAATCCTCCTCAGCATCCAGTTCAGAAGTCTTTCTCTGAACAGCTGGTGCTAACCAATCAGATTCCTTGGAGCAGCCTGTCACTCAAGGCTTTCTGTTTCTGTGATGAATTAACCCTTCACAGTCCTTCAGCTGTTTGTACAGCACATCTAAAAGCATTCCATCACAGAAGGCTTGAAGAAATAAGGGTGACTAATGATAGTTTCAGGTCACTACTCCTAGGGAACAACTCTGTTAGTCACGCAGTGTGAAGAAGACTGAAAGATTCCTTATTTGGATATTCAGAGCTAGAATTGACCTGATGTGGCAAGCAGAGTTCTTTCATCAAGAGACTAAAATATAGGGTGTCTGGTGAGGAGCTTCCTGACTGTTACTCCAGCAGCAGTATCCTGTGTCTGGTCCAGGTCAATGTCAGTACTGGTGTTTGACTTGCAGCAATCAGGAAAGGTCTGGGAAGTATCAGGTCAGTTCTATGAGGCAAACCTTCCCAGTAACCCCCTGACTCAAACATTTCTAGACGAAACAGTTGATGATGCCATAGATTCCATGACAGCTCTGGGGCATGGGGGAGAGGAGAAAGTTTAATTAATGCTCAGATTGAATCAGAGTTTCAAAATTAGGTAAAATACACAATTGTGATCATAATGTCTGAACAACATTGATATGATGATGGAACACGTTAAACAGCTTTCATTTAAATCATAGTTATGAATAGAGGAACATTGTAAAAAACCTTGCTGAATCAAACAAAAATTCGTTTTATCAAATATTCTGTTTTCAACAGTGGCTTGTCAGGAAACCAATGAGAAAGCTTTGAATGCAACATCTCTTGCTTCTTGTTTGCATGCGCACACACACTTTGAACAACTAGTATTCAGAAGCATTTTTCCTATGAACATGGAGGTTCTGTTTAGCTACCATGTCTAATAACCATTGATACACTTTCCCACCAGGATATGCAGTATTTAACTCAAATAACCTGATGGGTTTGTGTTATCCTGTTCTTGTGAACTGATGCATTCATAAAGAAACTCACTGCTGGTTGCTGATCACCATTTTTCCCCACTGAGAAAGCAAAACATCCATGCTCCCAATTCTAGTGGGCCTTCTATTCAGAATAGGGGGCAAAAAAGCTGAGAACAATAGCTTATTTATTTAGAAGAACATTCTATACTGCTTTTCCAGAGGCAGCTTACAAATAAAACGAAAACGACCAACCCAAATAAAACTAGACCAGCCAACAGTAAAGTGGTCTCAAACCAGCAGCCATAAAACCAACAAAATATTTAAAAAAAAAAAAAAATTGCATAAAGCGACGTAAAAGCACACCCGAACCAGGCTTAGAACAGATCAAATACAGGCCAAAGAATCCATAAAAGTTCTATGTTTAGAGCTTCCCTGTTGCATTTCATTCACAAAGAGCAGATTAAAATGAGGCAGCGAATATATAGAGGGGAAAGATCTGCTACAGCACACAGTGGAGTGCTTGCCAGTATGTAATATTGCTCTTGAGAACGTGCTGCAGTTTGCCACTTGCCATCACAAATTACTCAAAGATAGGCACTCAGCAAACGTGAAGCAGACAACATGTCCTGTGAAGTTTGTCAAGACATTATGAGAAACAGTATAATAATACTTTTTTTAATGAGAAATCGATTTAACTTGAAGAGTTCCCAGAAATGGAGTTCTAATTATGCAGGAGCACCATCTAGGATCCACAGCAGATTGGCTCAGCAGTTCCCACTATGTTCCAGGGCACAATCCAGGAAAACAGCTGGTGAAGATATACTGTCAGAATTAGAGATGCTGCATACTTTGCACTGGGCATACCGTTTTTAGCAGCTGTATTTATGGGTCAAATTTTGGATCTCCTTGCTCAGCTGCTGTCCAGCTTGAACAGTGTGCTGAACAGCTTTGTGGCTGCACAGTAGCAGCAGTGGTAGAATTTCATTTCCATCTGCTTTCCAGGTTACCTTACCTTCCTTCTATCATGGTTCCAACATAGCAGGTGAAATCAATTCTTCCCCATGGTCACAAATGGCTGAAGCAGCAGACCTAAGAGCACTTTCCTGGAGTAAGTCCCATTGAATAAATGAGATCTGCTCCTGAGTAGACCTGCTTAGGACTGCTTCCTGGGTCAGGTAGTTGAACTCAAACTGTAAGACTTATTTACAGACAGAGTTGATTTATAAATAATTGACTGACTCATTTGCTCACTCTTTATTTAGACAAATGGCTGCAAAGTAGCACACAACAACAACAGAGCTATAAGGAGGAAACTCGGAATTCACATTCAGCTGTTTGAGAACATACATAAACATAGAACATGGAAACATAGAGGTGGAAGGGACCTCAAGGGACATCTAGTCCAACCCCCTGTACAATGCAAGAAATTCACAACTACCTCCTACCCACCCCTATTATCCCAGTCACCCCTGCTCTATGGCCAGAGGAAGGCAAAAAAAACCTCCAGAATCCTTGGCCAATCTAGCCTGGAGGAAAATTCCTTCCTGACCCCAAAGTGGAGATTGGTATTACCCTGGGCTTGTAAGAAAGGGCCAGAAGAGCCAAGCACTGGCTCATCCCTTCCAGCCCTCCCTCTCATGATCTGCCTAAATTCACAGAATCAGCATTGCTGTCAGATGGCCATCTAGCCTCGACTTAAAATCCTCCAAAGAAATAAGAGACCACAACCTCCTGAGGAAGCCTATTAGCCAAGGTATTAATGAACAAGGTTTGTGACAGACACCCTTAAAATGTCACATAAACATTCATTTGTAAGTCTTGACCTACACTTGGATTTCACAATTTTCATCTTAGAAAAAGTTTGTTCACAAATGTATGCGGTACCAAAGACTGTGAACATGCCTGCAGCAAATTTCTTTAGGTTGCTAAATATATCAGGTAGATCAGAACAGAAATCCAACAGACTGTAATGACTCTGAGATTATCACTGGTTTGCAAATCCATTAATTGTATCTGAAAAAAGTTACTTGCATCTTCTGGTGCTACTTCAAATGTATTCTGAAACATGCTTGTTTCCTTTCCATGCTTATGGCAACCAGTGAATCTGTTCTGGAATTCCATCTGCATAGGTTCAGTGCTTTAATGTGTCTTCCAAACCTGAATTTTAAATTCCTGTCCTTCTCAAGTTTTAGTCCTTTGCAGCATGAGGAGTTTGAAAACTTACCTTCACTAACTTGCTTCACAAAAATGTTTCATTATGCTTCAAAAGCTTTCAATTCAGAATCCACATGGCACACAAGCTTTCCTTTTCCTTTCAACCTTAGATTCAATGTGTTCAGATGCACTGTGATATCAGTTAAGAAAGCCAAATCAAAAATCCATCCAGGGTCAGAAAGTACTTCTTGACCTTTTCCTTTCTCCTTGAGAAAGACATCAACTTCATGATGAAGACTGAAAAAAAGTTTGAGGACTTTGCCTCTGCTAAACTACCTGACTTCTGCATGGTACAATACATCTCCATATTCTGCATCAATCTCTGAGATAAAATTTCAAAACTGACGATGAGTAAGACCACAATGCCTAATGTAATTAATGTTAAATACAACAATATGCATCAGGCTTTCCCACTGAAGAATCTTACTACACAAGGCTTGCTGATGGATGATGGAGTAAAATTGCATTGGGAAGTGTACCATTTAATTTCAATAACTCTTCACTGATTTTGGCAACAACACCACTTTTTCTTCCCACCATATTTCTTGCAATTTCAGTTGATGCTGTTCTATTTATCCCAACTCAGACCAAGATCTTCTACTGATTTACACACCTTCAAGAATGTGTTTTCTGCAGTTGTAGTGCCTTTAAAACTTTGCAGTGCACACAACTCTCCTGTAATTCTGATGTTGGAATCTATCCATCCTGATAAAAATTAGTAGTTGAGCAATGTCTATAATGTCATTGCTCTCATCTAATGCCAAAGGGGGAAAAAATCAAAACTTTTTGCCTTGACAATCAGTGACATATTCAGATTTTCTCCTAGTTCTTCAACATGTCTGGTGATTGTAGATGCAGATAAACCTAACTGACACAACTAACACGATTTCCTCCATTACTTTAACCATGCACTTTTTAACAAATTCACCATCAGTCTACCACTCAGGAATACATTTAGCAACATGATAGCGGGCCCTCACAGTAGACAGATTCTCCTCAACATGCTTTCTAAAACTATTTTGCTGCAAAACATTGATTTTTCAGAGACTTTATCTTGTTCATTCACACCTCTCCTTGATATATTGAGAAGCTCTTGTGACAGGATTCAAAGTGCCTTTTAACATTGTACTCCTTTAATACTGAGACAGTTTCAAGATATATCAGGCAAACTGCTTTATCCTTGTTTAAAACAAAGAAGTACTCAGTAGTCCGTTTGTCATTAAAAACATGGTGCTCGTCTGCAATTTTTTTGTGTCTTTGAAATAGCACTTTCTTTTGCAGACATCTTCTTACAGAATTTTTAGCAGAGCAGCAGAAGAAAAAAAGGAGGAGGAGGAGATTGGATTTATATCCCGCCCTTCACTCGGAGTCTCAGAGTGGCTTACAAACTCCTTTCCCTTTATCTTCCTGCTTTATCTTCCTTACACACATATGTAGCCTTCAAAATGGTAATGCATGGAGAGGAGGAGTGAAGGAGCTGAGCGTTACAGGTACCTGAGTTTTGCTAGCTAGCAAAGCATCCAGAATGGCCAAAATGGTAGTATGGAGGTTAAGATTAAGAGGGGGCTGACAGAAGGAACCATGGAGACCAGAAGAAACAATGTTGCTATTGAGGTAGAAAGAACAGTGTGGGTCTGAGGGAAAATGACTTGAGGGAGATAACAGGAAACAAGCAGGTTGGAGGGCCACACAGAAAGAGCTTGGGGGCTACATGAGGCCCATGGGGTGCAGGTTGGGGACCCCTGCTTTATATGACAGCCCTTCAAAAGCTTGAAGATGGCTATCATATCACCTCTCAGCCATCTCCTTTCTAGGCTAACATACCCAGCTCCTTCACCCTTTCCTCATAGAACTTGGTTTCCAGACCCCTCACCATCTCAGTCGCACTCCTCTGGACACATACCAGCTTGTCAACATCCTTCTTAAACTGTGGTTCCAAGAACTGAACACAATACTCCAAGTGAGGTCTAACCAGAGCCTGGTAAAGCGATATCATCACTGTGCTGTGGACACTATACTTCTGTCGATGGACCCCAAAATCATATTTGCTTTTTTAGCTACCGCATCACACTGCTAATTCATATTCAGTGTATGGTCTACTAATACCCCTGGGTCCTTTTCACAAGTACTACTGCCAAGACAACTTCTCCTTCCTATAATTATGCATTTGGCTTTTTTCTTCCTAGATGCAGAACTTAACATTTATCTTTGTTGAAATTGATTTTGTTAATTGTAACCCAGTGTTCCAGCCTGTCAAGATCATCCTGTATCTTGATTCTGTTTTCTACTGTATTTGCTACCCCTCCCAATTTAGTGTCATCTGCAAATTTAATGAGCATCCCCTCTATTCTTTCATCCAAGTCATTTATAAAGATGTTGGATGCAGGACAGATCCCTGAGGCACTTCACTTGTCACTCCTCTACAAGAGGGGAACCATTAACAAGCACTCTTCAGGTGCGATCTGTCAACCGGTTACAAATCCACCTAACAGTAATAAGATCCAAACCACATTTTACCAACTTGTCAACAAGAATATCATATGGAACCTTATCAAAGCCTTACTGAAATGAAGATAAACTATATCCATAGCATTCCACTCATCCAAATGTCTGAATTGCTGCTGATTGCACTTTACCATACTGTTTGAGCATGCAGAAAGTAACCCACAATATAGGCTTGAGCAGCTCATAAACAGCCAACCTGTCCAGTGATAAATCATCTCCCTTTTGCAATCAGTGAGCAGATTGTAAATGAAACTGGCGGGAGCTGCTCAAACATCCTTAATCAGAATGTGGCAAGTAAAACACGCAACATTTGAAAGACACCAAGCATCTCTTGTGAGAACAACTTTCCAAACTATCTTAGCAAATATAAGGATTCGGACATATGTTGTTAAAGTTAACTCTGATTTGCATATGGGATAGCTTTTCAAGTCAGCATCCTGAATAGTCCAGCTTAGCCCAGGCTCATCAGCATTTGGGGGCTAAGCAGGGTTGGCCACAGCCAGTGCTTGGATAGGAGACCACCAAGGAAGACTGTGGTTGCTGCACAGAGGAAGGCAAAGGCAATCCACCTCTGATCCTCTCTTGCCTTGGACACCCCGTGGATGGGGTCACCATAAGTCGGTTGCAGCTCAATGGCACGTTCTTTTTCTTTGGGTCAGTTATGATTTATTTTTTTAAGGCAATGTTGAAATATACATACACTTCGGATGCTGATTGCTGGGGGGGGGGGGAAGCAGCTGACATTTCTATAAGACTGTCTGAAGCTGTGCCACCATACATCTAATGAGTGACCTGGTTGACTTCCATGTGAAGAGAGCAAGTAGATTAAAATGAAAGAAAGTATAGGAGACCAGCATGCACTTTTTTTTCCTCCTGGAAAGTGAATCCATAGAGGCTTTAACTATGCTAGAAGATTTAGAGGGTGAAACTCTGTAATATAGCGATAGGCAGATGTTTTCCATATGTTGTCAGCAGGGAACTTCAATCACTCCAAGGCCAGTTAGTACAGCGTTTCATGTTATAGATTTCTCTCTGAAGCCCGGTTTCGAATTAAATTGTGCACGCACATCTTCAAACACACTCTCAAAAACGTGTGAGAATATTTTGTTCGGCTTGCTCTTTTTTGTCTCTCTGCTTCATTGGCTCTGCTGTCCCTAAAATATTGCATCTAACTGGATATATCTCTATGCTAATTCTATGCTTTAAAAATTATTTCCAGATTTTTGTTTAATTCAGATTTCTGAAACTCAGAAGGGGGGGGGGGATAGTTAAAATTCATTGGCTCGCCTTCCTTTTCATGTTCATTGGAAAGTTCATTCTGGCAGTGTAATTCAGCACTCAATTAAATATCCAAATTTTTTACAACTCAGACAGTTTTGGTTCACAGGCAGGTCTATGCTGTTTCACTCAGTCACATTCCTCGGTAGATAATATTTTCATTTCTTAGTACTCTATACATTTTTCTTTTGTTGTACCATATGTTTCTGCACAAATGTTGTTTCCCACAAATATCGTTCCCAGAAATCTCTGGTAATAAAATCCTGACTCTGTATTGCTTTATCGCTTCAGCTAGAAAGATATTGCAACATGAAAGAGTGACTGGAAAGGCAAAAGGTTTGGAACATTAAAAAAAAAAATGACTGTCCTTTCTTTCTCTTGATAGGCAATTCCATGTTGCTACGTGTATTGCCGTCTTTGTATGAAAAGCAATCACAGCCAATTAACAGCCACCTGAGAGACCTGGTTGCACTGATGTCTCACTTGGAACAGTCTGAACAGCACCATCTTTTACAACTTTTGCTGATAGTTGCTAAGAAAAAACAGCCTGAGGTAAGACTTATTAATTCCCTCAGGTAAGTCATAGAAGGGTCTATCATTTTGGTAAACCAGCTCTTAAAACGCTCAAGTTTCTCATGTGGCCCCACGGACTAGGATCTGGATGCAAATGTTCTGTTTGCACCTCCAATTTATTTCCTACATGAACCTTTCAAATTTTAACCTTTGCTGAATTCAAGAAGCACTTTGGGGATTGGAAATAAAAATGGCTTGAAGAGGAACTGCACAAAAAACTCACCCCAGACCCCTTGTAGACATACTCTGGCAGCACTGCAGCGTGTTATAGGAGCAAGGGACACTCACCTGCCAGTTTGGCTCACTTTCCTTCACCGGTAGTGATCAGGCAGCTAATTTATTAATGGGCTGTGTGACTGTTTGCAACATGTTCATGTGTATCTGCAGGAACCGGCTACTGGCAACCATTGGAAGCTGACTCCCAGCTTATGGGGAATCACCTCGGAGCTGGCTTCTGATGTCCCACTGGAAAATTTGTGTTCTGTGCCCAACAAAGCTTTGTCAGGGAGGGATCTGGAGCTGAGTCCCAGATGATCAGCTGGAAGTCAGTTTCTTCTGACCTCCCATCCTGGAAACATTGCTGCCTCTCAGGGCTCTTTTTGTAGAAAAAGCCCAGCAGGAACTCATTAGCATAATAGGCCACACCCAACAGCAGGAACTTATTAGCATATTGGGCCACACCCCTGACAGCACAGCTCATTAGCACATTAGGCCACACCCACATGTTACCAGAAGTGTGGTTATCCAGCCACACCCACCTTTTGCTTGTTATTCTGTTTACCTTGTTTGTTGTCAAAACCCAGGGCCTTTTTTTGTAGCCAGAACTCCTTTGCATGTTAGGCCACACACCCCTAATGTAGCCAATCCTAATGAGTTTCTGCTGTTGGGTGTGGCCTATTATGCGAATGTGTTCCGGCTGAACGTGGCCAACTTGGGAGCCAGCCGGAACTCCGTTCCTGTGCGTTCCTGCCGCAAAATAGCCCTGCTGCATCATATTTAGCTTGGGGGGGATGATGAAAAACTCAGTTGATTTCCCTGCTCTTGCTGTTGGCTTGGGCTGCAGAGAAAAGGAGAGAAACGAGCTCTTTCTCCTCTCCTTTTTGCACCGGAGAGATCAAAAACATTTCTTCTGTCCCCAGCTAGCTCTTTCTTTTATCTCTTTTGCAACTCCACTTTGTAGCTGTTTTGCTGAGGGAGGGGGGAATGATAAGAACCCAGCTGATCTCCCAAACAGCAGTGAGTCAGCTTCTGACCAGGCACCTGCACACTTGTTCAATAGCTGTTTCAGTTATTCAGTGCAATCTAAAGATACCCCTGATCAGCTCGCAGTCTGATCATGAGTATTAAACTGGGACCGATTTCCCACAAGCTGCTGCAGCGCACTGGCTCTTCCTTTTGCCCCGATCATACGTGTCAGTTTCACACTAAGTGTAGCTGCATTTTGCCCCGCAGCTTCGCCTGATTTTCCCCGCCTCTACTCAATCCTCAAAAAACAGGATTCAGTAGAGGCGGGGAAAATTGGGTGAAGCTGCAGGGCAAAATGCAGCTACACTTAGTGTGAAATTGACACGTACGATCAGGGCAAAGGGAAGAGCCAGCGCGCTGCAGCAGCTTGTGGGAACTCGGCCTGGGTAAGTTCAACTGCCCAGCAGGTTCACAAAGAAGCAACAGATTCACCCAAGGCTGCTTTTGCACCTGGGGGGCTTGGGAGGGGATGAAAGTTCTTACCTAGTTTCCCAGCAGTGGCTTTCAGGGGGAGACAATTGGGCCCTGGCTCCAAAACAGGAGTCAATCTGTAGCTGTCCAGTAGGGGGGGGGGCAAGCAGACGTGAAGACCCTTCACTAGTGTCTGCTCCCTGAAGCTTTAAGATGTCACTGCTGGAGACCAGGCCTCACTGACCCCATGTCAAAATCATCCAAATGTAACAAATAGACTGTGCTTGAGACCAAAGACAATGTGACTTAAAGATTATCAGGAGATCTTTTGTGCAACAGCTGATCAGACAAGTATGATGTAGTGGTTTAGAGTTGAACCCAGGGACACCTAGGTTTTTCCCATTCAGACCAGGAAACTCACTAGCAGTGCCATTTTAAGCAGAGGTTCTAAACCCAGGGACTTAGAAGGGTGTAACTCTGTTTACGATTGTATTATAGGTGACCTTGAGTCATTCACCTTCTTTCTCTCTTGTCTAACATTGCAAGGGGGAAAGTGGGATAATTGCTGAGCTTTTCAGAAGAAGGGCAGGATATTATAGGTGACCTTGAGTCATTCACCTTCTTTCTCTCTTGTCTAACATTGCAAGGGGGAAAGTGGGATAATTGCTGAGCTTTTCAGAAGAAGGGCAGGATATAACTGCATGAAAGCCATGCATAATATTCTTACTTTACTGGTATTCAAGTTTCCCAGAGAATCTCACTCTGTCCTGCATAGAGGAATTTCCAGCTGGAATCCAAGTCTCCATTGCTGGGTTCTCTAGTTCTTTTTTGGTGCTATTCCAGGGTGGGGATGAGTTCTTAGGTGCTCCAGCAAGCCAGCTGTGATGAAAAGAATCAGCAACAGCACCTTGGATACTGTGTCAAGTGCTACAACTCAGTGGTGCAGCCCATGGTATAATAAAACAGAAGACACCCCTTTGCAAGGTGGGTTTCCCTTAGGAAGTGTGAATGTTCACCATTCATCAGATAACTACTAATGTTTCTGAATGGGTCATTCCAAACAGAATTTTCATGATCCAGTTTCAGCTCAAACACAATAGCTTTCAAATACGGTCATTTGACTGGAAGGTAGCATGTGCTGAGACAGGGAGTCATTTATTTATTTTATTTATTAGAATAATAATAAGAAGAAGAGATTGGATTTATACCCCGCCCTTCACTACCCAAAGGTATCTCAGAGTGGCTTACAAACTCCTTTCTCTCCCGCTCCCCACAACAGACACCCTGTGAGGTGGGTGGGGCTGAGAGAGCTCTTGACAGAAACTGCCCTTTTTCAAGAACAGCTCTTATCAGAGCTACGGTTTGCCCAAGGTCATCCATCCAGGTGCAAGTGGAAAAGTGGGGAATCAAACCCGGTTCTCCCAGATTAGAGTCGACGCACTTAACCACTACACCAAACTGGCTCTCTTATTATTGTATTTCTATCCCACCCTCCCCGCGAACGGGCTCAGGGCGGCTCACAAACGGGCTCATGTGCACCTATATGTTGTGTGAATACCTGTAAGCAGCCTTCATATGTGTAGCTTCCAATGTGAGGGCAGGCTCGAGGGCAGGCTTGATCTTGGCAGCTCTAACAAATACAAAAATAAAGAGTCGGCAAATGGCTAAACTGAACACATGAAGCTGCCTTTACTCTGAATCACATCACTGGTCTATCAAGATCAGTATTATCCGTTCAAATTGGCAGTGGCTGTCCAGGATCACAGGTAGAGGTCTTTGACATCACTGACTACTTGATCCCTTTAACTGGAGAAACTGAGAACTTCTACATGTGAAACAAATGCTGTTCATTTTTAATTTATTTACAAAATCCGTATCCTGCCTTTTTGCCCAGACGGGGACACCAAGGCGGCTAACAAGTAAATCCACAACAGTATAAAACATATTGTGGAAAAAAGAAGACCAAAACAGGGGGCAGGAAGGAGGGTTAGGGTTAGTGTTACCAACTCCAGTTTCAGAAATTCCTGGAGGTTTGGGGGTGGTCCGTGGGGAGGGTGGAGTTTGCAGAGGAGAGAAAACTCAGTGGGCACGTGATGTTTATGAGGCATAAGGCATACAAGAATGCCTTATTTATAGAGTATAAATTTCAGAAGTCTTCATTAAAAAAAGTGGGGAAAGCCAACAGAAATTGACCATCTTGCATTCTTAAATTGAATTTTTAAAATGAATCGTTAATATGAACTGTAGAGCACCATTTTAGTTGTATTTAGTTGTATTTATTGAATTTTGATGTATTCTATGTTTTATCTCGGCATACGCCTGTTTGCCGCCTGGGCCGTATGGGTAGGGCGGGATATAAATCCCAAAAAATAAAATAAAATAAATAAAATAAATAAATGCCATAGAGTCTGGCGTCTGGAACGGCCATTTTCTCCAGGGGAACTGATCTCTGTGGTCTGGAGATTCAGGTGCCACCTGGAGGCTGGTATCCCTAGATGCTGCACCATTGAGCTGCAGCCCCTCCCCTTACTGAATGAATCATATGCAAAGTTATAATCAACTGTGTCTGTGTAAAGAAAGATTTTCCTGTAAGCTATGGAGGGGAGGTACAGTTTCTCCTACCACATTTGCAGTGCAGTGCAGAATACTGAAAAAGGGAAAGATTCAAAATATATCAAAAATAATTGTTGCATTGTTGCAAAATATTTGCACATAAACTGCCATATTGGCCATTTCCTGAATGTGGTGGTGTTTTCCCCGGGTGACGAGTTTGTCCATTTACTGTACAGGTTTGCTTGACAGAGTTGGATAGTATCTCATTAAAATGCTCAATAAAATGGTTTTAATCAATTGCCAGAACAGGATAGGAAAAAATACCATTTGTTTCAATTGATGTTAAAGAAGGGTTAGAGTGGATCAAAATAGGTTTAATAGGCTGAAAGAAACACTATTATTAAAATAGGCTGAAGGGGTCTTCAAACAGATTGCTAGCCACCCAGAGTGTTTTTGTGTGTGGGGGGGGATAAATGGTATGGGGGACAGAGTTACGAGACTACCAGCCACAATCAAGCAATCTTCAACCCCAAACTTACTGCCATTTTGGATTTTCCTTGCTTGTACACAAAATATTGTGTGCCATTATTCTCTTTCCTTCTGCAAAGATAAAGATATTTTAAATGCTTTTGGAGTTTTTAAAGGTTAGTTACCAGGAATAACTGCCAGATTAGGAACAAAGTGGGGAAAGCCAACAGAAATAATCTCATGTTTGGTGTACAGTTCACACTGTTGCACAAGAAGGATGTTTATGAGGCATAAGGCATACA